TGCCAATGATAATACTGCCTGTTAGTTTCTTCATTGCAAAGACAAACAAATGAGTGTATTTCTTGTTGATGGTTGTGGTGATATTATGTGATTTTTGTTGTTGTATATCTTATAAACATAAAAATGAACTTATTCTGCAGGTTTATATAGGTGTATTGAGCAACTATATACGTATATGTGTTTCATGCAATATTTATATTTAATTGATGATTTGAAAAACTGAAATAGTCAAAGCAAACCATAAATCTGACTAATTATTTTAGCCTATTTCATGGATAGGAGTACTAATTTTAGGAAATATATTTACTTTTGTTCTTCATGATTGAAAAATTAAATGGCATTCTAGTAACAAAAATATAAATTCGTTTATCATTTATTTTATAAGAGCATTATGTGGACATAATTATTTTTTGTATTGAGATGGTAGTTTATATAGTAAATTAACGGATATGCTCCTCTACCTACGGTGGGCAGGGAATTAATATGCCATCACTTATGTGGCATGTACACATTGGGCATAGGCAGTGGGAGAAAATTAATATGTCCAATGTGTACATGACACATAAGCGGTGGGCATATTAATTTCCTGCCCACCGTGGGTAGAAGAGTAGATCCGGGTAAATTAAATAAAAAAAATGACATAGTAGAATGTAAAATTGATATGTGTAATGTTTATATTTCATTTAGATTTGCTGAATTTTAAATTTTGCTGAAATCTATCTATGAAAAACATGAAATTTATTTGTTGTGTATCTAGTTAGCATAATAATTAATTTAGGATTTTTTTGAATCAGTTATTATGCTGAATTTAATTATCGTGCATTAATTAGTATTTTTTGTATACGAATAAATTAATTGAGAGTGATTTGTGTAAAAAAAAATAAACTGAAAACTGACTTGCATATAAATCCTTTATTGTTCTTCATTTTCTTAATGTATTGACGTCAAACTTATTGTTGAATTATGGTAAACAAATTAAAAATTATCTTATTAGGTAATTTTTTTAACCTGAAAACTGACTTGATATACAATTATTTTTTAACTTGAAATGAAGCTAAATCGAGTACATCTTATTGGGATTAAGTTGTATTTTAAATTTAAATTTATTTATAATGCTTACTATAATTGTTATGCTTGAATTGTGGAATTTTTTAATTGTAGTTATCATATAATTTGTTTTAGAAAATTAAATTTATAAACCTGTTTTATATTGTTCTTAATTTTTACCGATGTAGTAATGAAATATGATTTATTTATTATATATTTGTCTAAAGTTTATGTTATAAAATTAACTATTATTTTTTGTTTTTGTATAAATAGATTGATTGAGATATATGTGAAAACAAACTGAAAAATGAAAAATTAGATCAATCTTCAGTATCGATGCTATAATTTGCAGAGCTAAATTGAACTATAAATTCTTTAGTATCATTGTTAAATTATTTATTTATTAAAATAGTGTTTGTAATATTGTGAGATCACTAATATTAACATGTCATATTTTGCAGGATTTCAGCATGAGAATGAATATTTATTATTATTTGGAAGATTATTTTTATATCATGATATGTAAATTTTATTTTATTTGCTGCTAAATTTATTATTATTATTTTTTTTTTGATATATGAAATAAAAAAAAATTGAAAGTCAAAATGATATACATAATTATTTAGGTTGTAAGCATATGTTATTGATAAATTAATAATTCATAAAAAAAAGTTAAATCAATTATCTTTGGAACCAAACATAATATATGTGTCAATTATTTATTTGAGAATAGTATAAATTGTTGTTAACATATAAATAAAGAAAAAAGAAGTTTAAGAAAAACTTGCTTTATTTAGACCAAAATGTTTTGTGCGGGAATTGTAGGCTATCCCCCATTAATTGGATAACCTACAATTATATATATATATATATATATATATATATATATAGATTTATTTTTTTAATTCATTTTATTACGTGTATAGTCTATGTATATAAAATATATGTGATTTAACTGTATTTATATTAATAATTTATAAGGTTTTACCACTTGAGGGAATTAAATCTTTCATTTTAATTATAAAACTAATCTTTCTTATCATTTTGTAATTGGTATATGTTGATGGAGTATGGTAGAAAATTAAATTACAAAAATATAATTTCATTTTTATTGTAATGTATTGTAATGTAACATGATTTGAAATTATAATTTTTGTATTTGATATATTCATTAATATTGTTTATAATTTTAATTTTAATTGCTTAATAACAAAAGTAACTGCCATGTGGATGTGACGCTTTTTATACATCTACGAATGATATTAGAAAACATTAATGTGAGATTAATAGAAACAACTTACTTAATTTAGCCAAAATTTGGTTTAGACGGGAAAATGTAGGCTATTTCATTTATTGGATACTCTACATAATATATATATAGATTTTGTTTTTTTGGTAAATCTTACTTGAATATCGTTTAATCAAAAG